GAAGATGCACGGAACAGGAAGTCGGCCACAGCTTGTACTTTGGTGAACTCTTGTTGAAATGCATCCAAATGAGCCCCAACTGGAAGCAGGTATCCACGACGTGAAACTCTTTCAGCTACGGCGTCTCATGTCGGCAGAGAATCAAAGTTTGATGATCACTTCGAGGAATCACGCTGAAAAAAATGTGTGCAAGGAATTTTACTTGTATTGATGTTTAAGAAAGAGTCCTGTTGATTTTGAATCATGTCAAACCAAACACGGTTGAGGTTTGGAAAAAGACTCCAATTACATATCACTGATGTGACTTTTGTTTTCCTTCTATTCATTCACACATTCCACAAATGTGATTACACGCACATTACAGTACGGCGGTTACACACATGACTCCTGCACACACGCACTTGCAAATGTCTTGGCCAAGCGTAAACGAGCTGAAGTTGGCTGCAGCGTATGAAACAAGATGAGTGAGTAAGTGATGGAAAACAGATCCGAGGTCTGCCGTCAAAGCGCTGCTCGTTAATCACACAAGCGTATTTGCACAATCTCACACGGGCGCGTGAATAAAAGGTTTGTTGCATGGAAACAATGCAAGTCTTTCTTTCTTCACACTTTTTTTTTCAGGAAGGGCCACTGAAACACGAGCACTCAGGAACAGACGAGAATATTTTATCCTTCCTTGAGTGGGAATATTTTTCCTTTCATGCCTTGTTTCGGGTCGGCCTAGGTTAGTCTCGGGAAAGAAGGTTCGAGTTTACAGTATAGATTTACTGAAATAATCTCTTGCTTTTTCATGGCGCTTCTTCTAAATTGTCAAACTTTGACCCCACGCTCTGCCCACATCAGACTTTTTCAGTTCAGAGTTCTGTTTGTATTAGATACACGATTTCCATTGGGGCCCATTGGTGGTACATTTGAGCGTATTCCCTGGGAGATATTAGCCAAAAAGCCTTGGAATTTGACCACAATGCCTCCTTCAAACCAAAACAACGTATTTTGTCTTGAATTTCTAGTCATGGGTCATTTAGGCTTTTTTTGTGGGTCCTGTTATGATAAGACAAGTCCACCCAATTTTTCACTATGGGGGCAATTTTTTTGAATGTGTGCAAATGGCCAAATTTATCTTAAAATGAGAGTTTCAGAGTAAAATGGCAGACTGTATTGAGACTTTTCCAAGTGTCCTGTTCCAATCGACATGCGCACCCAGTTTTGTGTGCATCTGTGAAACAGGTATTGGTGGCTGACTTTTCTAAGTGGTGTGAATTAGAAGGTGGACTTTCACTCCCATCCTGCTAGCACAGAAAAAAAATCTGCCTGTCCCAGTTCCGGATTATAGTTTAAAAAAAAAAAATCCTGTCCCGGCCCGCTTCCAGTGAAAGCAATTCCACTTGCCGTCCTGCTCCCGTTCGGAATGACTCCGACTCCCGTCAATGCTCCCATTTTGGTGGTCAACTACATTAAAAATGGCTGCACATCTGTCATCTAAAAAAAAAAGAAATCCGACTGGATAATCCTGTTTCTGTCTCCTCCCGTGAATTTTTCATCCTGTACTGTCCCAATCCTAGGAGTAAAGGTAAAATTGACTATCATCCCAAAGGAAACCCCCAAAAATGTCAACCTCTACTGTGTTGGGAAAAATCTGAGCATAAAATTGCTGTTTGGTACTCTTGTTCAATCGTGAGACTTTTTAATGTGTCCTGTTATGATAGACACCACACCCAAATATGGGGTGATTGGTGAATCTGGAGCAGATATTTGCTCTTACTTTCTATGGTCTCTTGAGCCCCCACCCCCAAAACGAGGACTGTGTTGAACTTGCCATTAGTAGGAGAAACCATTTCCAATCTGGAGGGAGAGGGACGGGAATTTGAGATCGTATGCCTCACACAGTCTTGCTGGCACTTGATGCCATGTCGATGATGTCATAGGCGCGTGCGCGCACACACACACACACACACACACACACACACACACACACACACACACACACACACACACACGCACACAGGTGGATGTAATTAGTGCATTGACTCCATTCATGGCACCCGATCAAACCTTGGTACAACCGGCTTCAGGAAATACAAAACTCTGCTGCTTCAAGTTAAACACAAACACACACACACTGCGCACATGCACAAACATGAAAATACACACACGCACCTTGAGTTATTCTTCAAGAGCGTATTGTTTAGTCTGCAGGAGACGCGCTCACACATATAAGAAAAAAAGGCGTGGAGACTGATTAGATGAGGACTTATAGGATCATGTTCACCTGAGAACACACACGTGCGTGCGCGCGCAAACACACACACACACACACACACACACACACACACACACACACACACGCACACACGCACACACACACACACACACACACAAATTCACACACCCACGTGCTCGCTAAGCAAAAGTTTGCATTGTAAGAACTTTTGTGCAAGAGGAAAAGTTGACCACGTCTGACTGCTCAGCACCACTTGGTCGTCTTCTTGATGACACTGCACTTTTCTCCGCTCCTCCATGCCCGCTTGTTTTTCGCCAGGGCCTCAGCAAGGAGGTGCGAAAGCTCTCTTGAACTTGCTACATTTCCCTGTCGTTGTTATACTACGGCCAAGGGGTAACACTGTAAATGTTGGTCTACTTGAAACCCCTCAAACGCTGCTTTATATATACTGTGTGTGTGTGTGTG